GAAGAAGACACAGGTTTGCAGCTTCCGTGATTGAGCGACGATTTGGAATCGGCGTAATTGAACAGGGCGCCGTTTGGTGTGTAGTCCCTGATTGGGACTAATTTTGGTCCCAGTTAGGGTACACTTTTTGTTCCAACTTTCTCCAAATTGAAATCCGATTGAACCGTTGGGATCAGACAGTCAAACTCTACATAATGATATGATTTTCATTATTTATTGACAAACTTTAGAATTTACTTATTTTTGGGTCCTTCTAAGTAATTAATTAATTATAAATTAATTAACTCTGATAGGCCTATTTTTGGGGCGTTACAGAGACTCTAGGTAGATGGGTGGTGGTGGAAGTCTCCTTAGTTGATCCACATCACTGGCCCTTATAGCGATATTGAATTCTTCCTTGTCTTCAATAGGCTGACTATCTTTTTGTGGCTTAATGATTATGACTGTGCCTTCCCCCAAGGAAGAGTCCTCGTCGTCGCTCACTAGAAGTTAATCCCAACTTTTTAAGTTCCAACCATCCTTCGGGCAGACATAGTCATATCCGTCAAGTAAGGAATCAAAGAAAGTATGGTCTGAATCTTCAGATGAATCATTGTTTGCACAGGTTTCCATAGATGAAGTTGGTTTTTCTCTGCACAGTATTTCTTTGTCTATAGATTCCTCGGATTCTTGAATATTATAGTCTTGGGGGTAAGTAATGGGCTCTATCTCTTCCAGAACAGGTTCCTTTGGGAGTGTGTCTTCAACACAATTAAGGAGATGATCGTTTATTTCCGTAGGCGAAACTACCTCATCCTTTTCTTGAATGGGCGTAGGTAGTTTTGAGTCAGGTCCCTCGCGTATGTTGGCTGGGTTTTGGCTAGGAAGGGTTTTAGGTAACATAACCACAGTAGCCCTAGCGAGGGTTATTATGCTCTCGGGTTTGTGTGATAGTATTAGTCTGGGTGAGTCTTCTAGAACTGGGACCTGATGATTGAGTAGTTTAAGGTTGGTCTTAAGTTCTAGCGTCTCATTAGCCTCCCAAATTTGGTCTGGAGATTGGAAGGAGCGTTTAAGTTCGACAGCCTTATAGACATCATTGACTAATTTATCAGCTTTAGCTTCAACTTCTAGTCTCTCTCTTTGAAAGTCGTCCAACATTTTCTGTATCATTTCTGATCCTTCGCATAATCTTCTTTCGAACTCCCTTTTCTTCCGAACTGATTCAAGAAGTTTTGCTCTTTCTCGAATTGCCACATTGTTTGCTTCAATTTGTTCTTCAGCAAACAAAGTGTAGTCACGGGAGTAAGGTGGTTCGTACCAGGAGCCTTCAACGACTAAAACCTCGTCGAAATAGAAGATTTTCTATTATAATCTTATTATTTCTTCGACGAGCGGGTCAGATTGATTGTCGTGCATTGGCCCATATTGGTCATAGTCATCGTTATCTCCATGAGGTTCATAATAATTATCCCCATCAGTGTCTCGGTTTGGAGAATATCCAAGGTTTCTAAACAGAATATCACATGGTGGTTCCTCATGGTAAGTATAGTAGTTAGATCTATTGTTGACTTGGTAGGCATTATTATATGGGTACTGATGTGGGGGGTAAGGTGGATGGGTTTGAAACGGAGGGCGGTTAGGTGATTGGTAGAAAGAAGGCGAACCATAATAACCACTGGAGTTATCCATACTAATTATTATGGATGGTTGGTGAAAAGAAGTGAGAAGATCGTTCTAACCAATCTTCACCCAAGCTAATTAGAAGAAACTAAACTAATGGCGTGCCACTCCCCGGCAACGGCGCCATTTGACAATCGTAATTTTTCGGGTAGTACACCTCCCTAGTAAATGTTGGAGTTGTGCCCTGATGGCCAACTGTTCATCGTTATCCTATCACGTATAGGCAGATATAATATGTTTACACATCTCATGCTAATGTAAACAAATACTAGACTCGTACCCGTGCGATGCACGGGCTATTAATTGACATATAAGTATTTGATGTTTTGAATAAGAGAAAAATCTTACAAAAACCTAAAGGATTACATAAATAGAAAGATATTAAAAGTGAGGGAGTGAACTTCTCCCATGGCTTGAGAGGTAGCAAGCCCACTCCCCAGGATTCATGGAGAAGTTCACCCAGGTTCGAGCCCCAGCGAAGGCAGCAGCATTGACTCTTTGTGCGTCATTAGCTTGAGAATAGTATGAACAGATACTACCTTGTAATAGAGTCAATAGCATTCAAAAAAAGTGAGGGAGTTTTGGAGTATTGTAAATTTTGGTTACATGAAGGAAAGTCTTTATTGCAAATCAATATCTTCAATCCTTGGCGACTTGTCACATTTGAAATTGCAACATAAAGTTGACCATGACTAAATATGGTTTCTTTAGTAACAATCCAACATGAGACAAAGATTGGCCTTGACTTTTAATTTGTTAATTGTCATGCATATGAAGTCATAATTGGGAATTGTTTCCTTTGAAACTTAAAAAGAACCCTTGCATTAGACAAAAAATCAGCATTTGAATCAGACTTACAAACTGAATCAGAGCTAAAATAGCTCTTCGCTTCTCCCACGTTGTTCATTGATGTCATGTAGTCATTGATTTCATCCACAACGTCTAGAAAGGGAGCAAGGATTGCACGATTTTGCAGATATGTGGGATCATTTGCGATATTGTGGAAGTCTGGATAAGTGGAACGAACAATACTTGCTATTGGATCATGTATGATTTTTAACAACATATCTTCAGGAATAATAATGTCACTCGATCCATCATTTTCCTCTCCAGCTTACCTTTTTAGTTTAACATTTTAATTTACATACTAACTTTATAAACTAATTAAAAATTATTTTCTAAAAGAATTTTTTTGTATGAAGAATAACATTACTTTTTTATCTTAAACATATTGATCAGGATAATGCGATTGGGAATAATAATAATAATAATAGTAATAGTAATAATAATAGTAATAATAGTAATAATAATAATAATAATAATAATAATAATGACAACAACAAATTATGACAACAATAATTAGAATGAGAATAATATAAAAATATACTTAAATAAGATTTGTAAACTTTTTTAAAAGTTTTTTCATATTTTTCTAGTTTTTCCATTTATACTTAATTTTTTCAAGTTCCTTCCAATTTTTTATAATTTCTTTAAGCTCTTTTAGTTTCTTTTAAATTTTTCAAGTTCCTTCTAAAGAACCTGCCCTAAATACCAGTTTCTTGAGTAACAATCCAACATGTGACAAAGATTGTCATTGACTTTTGTTAATCGTTATTGCATACGAAGTTATAATTAAAAGAATTTCTTTGAAATTTAAAAGGGATCCTTATATCCTTAAATTTAAAAGAAATTTAAAAAATTTCTTTCAATTTCTTTGAAGTTAAAATAAATTTCTTTGAAATTTAAAAGGGATCCTTATAACTATTAAGGTCAAAAAATAGACTTGGTAAAAAATCAATTTAGTAAATATTTAAATAATTCTTCAAAAGGAAAAGAAAATATTTTAATAGTCGATATATAATGTAGTTTTTCAATTCTTAGTTTTTAGTCAGAAAAAAAAGACTAAAATAGGAGTAAAATATTAAAAGTATATCAAAACAGGAGTTTCATAATTTTATTTTCAAAATAGGAGTTAAATGCATTTATATTACCTATCTTGACTATGTAAATTATCAAAAAGTATAATAAAATGTATATCTACAATGCAAATTTTTTTAGGGAATAAGAATATAAAACTTAATTTTAGTACTTTTTTCATGTTTTATTCTTATTTAGGGGGGTGTATTCAATCCAAACTCTGCGGGATTTTTTTGGATTTTAAAAGTCAGTGGGTATTCAATCCAAATTTTAAAAAAACATTTAAAATCTAGAGGTATTCAATTGAGATTTTAAAAAGTCTTTCTAAATCTAATGGTATTGAAAAATGATGGATTTTTAAGGATTGTTATATAAAATGGATTGTGATGGATTTTTAGCTTGAAGTATAAATAAAAAAGTCTTTTGCAAATCCAACCAAACCCTAGTGGATTTTCAAGAGTCCAACCAAACCCCCATTCTCCGCCAATCTTCTTCTCATTCGGCAGTGGATTTTCTCGGCCAATCTTCTTCTCCTTCCGTCAATCTTCTTCTCCTTCTTCCCTAAGAACTCATCTTCTCAACGGAGGGTTGTCTTCTTCATATTGGCTAGGGTTTTGGTCGGGCATCCTGATTCGCGGAATTGGATCTGGCGGAACTGGATCTGGCATCCCGTTTCATGAGCGGTTTCTCGAATTGGATCTGTTCCTGATGATGCCGCCGGCAGCATCGATGTGGCAGAGCAAACGGAAGTCATTCTTCAGATTCTCGCTTTGAATACTTCCCCGGCGGAGACTCATCCTTCCCCAGCGGCGACTCATCCTTCCCCGGCGGCGTTTCATCCTTCCCCAGCGACTCATTCTTGAAAGATGGAAGAAGCGGCTACTCTGGCTAGGGTTCTTGGGAAAGGAGGAAAAAAAGGAAAGAAAAGAAAAAGAAAAAAAAGAAAAAAAGAAAAGCATAATCTTATAAAATCTTATGATAGAATACATTAGAATCTAACTAACTCTACGTAAATTTAAAACAATCCAATGAATTTACATAATTCATGAATTTTAAAGAATCTATCAAAATCTTTTAAAATCAAAATTGAATACACCCCCTTAAATTAATATCTTTTTTAAAACCTACTTGCAAATTTTGAAGATTCCAAAATAAATGCTCCCGGCCCAAAAAACTGATCCAAAAAGGCCAATTTCCTAATAAAAGAACCACTTTTTAACCCCCTGCCCTACTCATGAAGCGTGTTGTCTACGCCGAGTCGCCGACCGTTCCCATCTCTCTAGAACGAAGTCGCAGGTGGAATGAAGAGGGTATTGCGGTAGGAAGATGGTGCTAAACTTCAACCCTTCATTCAACCAACATATTGCGGTGTGAAGACGGTGCTAAACTCGAAAACATCGTCGGGCGTTCCTCTGTAATACCCATGAATCTTGGTATTTCTCATCTTAGTTCTGATTTTTGAATTGTATATACTTCCTTTTACCCATCGTTTGGAATTTTTTTAGATCCGTTTGTTTAATGTTAAAAGAAACTCAGATTTGATACTTTTAACCATTTATATGTAACATATACGTACACAATATGACTTCAATTCCAACAAACATAGATATGTCGTAATCGGTACACGCCTGTGAATTTTATCAAATAGTTTTAAAGACAGTCATAAATTTTTAGAATAAATTTTCTGTTAGATCCCTTATTTGAATTTTTTCTTAGATTCCTTGTTTGAGATGCAATTTGGGATCTTTTCATATTTTAAATCTATCACAAACACACACGCGCATTTAACTACACAAAGAACTGCATATTGCTGAAAAATATTTTGAGATTTTTTTTACCTAATCTTGAAACATTTAATCGGTCTGCTTATTTCCCTTGTTCAAGACCTTTTCTACCTAATCTAACATTTTTACATTGTTTAATAATCGATTTTTTGGATTTCACGCATTTTAAGATAGAATTTCCAAAGTATAATATACCTTTTTTAAATATTGAAGGTATATTGGTCTCCACACATTTTAAAAATGACCAAGAGCTATATCTATGATGCTTGTTCTAACACTTTTTACATTTTTTTACTATAATTTTAACCATTTTTACTCAATTTGATTTCAGGTATTCCTCGATACTTTGATGCAGGTATAATTAATTTTACTTGTTCCCCATTTTATTTCAATGTATAAGAAAAGCACATTTGCCAAGATTATATATGAGTTTTTAGTTGCTCTTAAGGTCTATATAGTCTGTATATTTTTTACATTACAATTAATTTATTTAAAACTTATTTCACTCAAAACAAAATTTTTATTAGGATTTGCACGGAACTCATTAGACTGAATAGAATCATCAATTGCAAATATTCAACTATTTTTGCTTCAATAATTCCTCTTTATTTTGGGCTCAAAAAACTAATGAGATCTTTAGTTCAAATCAATCTTATAACATGTATTTTCTATTTCAAGACTTTTAACACTAAAGATAATTTTTCTAACTTTTTTATTATATGGGGGAGTTTTAAAACATTCACAAATTTTAAAATTACGCATACAAACAACAATTTAGAAAGTGAACAAAACAAACATTTCAAACCTTGTCATTACTCAATGTTATCAATGCTTTTGAATAATTTTTGCTCATAATTAGAAAAGTGTATAAATATAATATGAACTATTGAAGATGGCCTAAATTTGATGTCTCTTACAAAAAATAGCAATAAATGGAAAGTGCAAGGACAGAAAATCTGTTCTTAAGAAAGAAAAATAAACAAAGGGAAGCCTTGAGGATTCTTGAGAGATGAAGGGGGAAGAGGTGGAGTACTCTGCTTGGAAAGATGTCTGAAATTTATAGATCGATCTTTTGTAATGCATTGGTAAATGTAAAGATATTTTGAAAAGCATTCTTCTAAATATTGACAGCTGTGAATAATGCTTTTTTTCTCTTTTACATGTTTCAAAAGCATTAATTGTCAAGTCTTTTAAAGATTTTACAATCTCCACATTTAATGTTGAATGGGACATAAAGTAATTTTTACAGTTTGGTTTGATGGCAGCCGTGCCCACACTGTCCGAGGCAGTCTGAAATGACTGTGCAACAAATCTAAACATTTAACATGCCAGAAATATCAGCCCACTAAACATGTAGCATAAAGCACACTAACCCGGCCCATTTTTTTGGGCGGGAACACTGTAGAAAAACGCCTCACACCATTGTATATATAAAGATAAAGATAAAGATTATATTCCTAGATTTATATTTAAAGATGTTTATCAGATAGTGTTATTCTGCTGATGAGACTAACATCTTGAAATAAATATTTATCTGAATGTCCATAGTCGAGTATTAACGAGAGTGGGATATCGTTAATGCATGTGAGACTAGTGTGTGTTGGATGTTTGACTTAGTCTCATAGTCAATGACAGTGTGTTCGCATCCGCACATGGGCAGATATTATCTAGAGATAATAGGATGCCGGACTGACCCATCCTAAAGATGTTGCTTGAACTTTTAGTTCATGCTCTAAATATCTTTAGCGCGACCACGGGTGTAACTATCCTTCGACTTGAAGTATTACGTTTTCTGCATATGTGAACCCGCATACTTTGATGCATTGTCTTATGTCATATGAAATAAGGATGGTATACAGGCTTTGTTTTGGGTATGCCGCAGCGCGTATTCAGAAACGTAGATTACGTACATAGGATTTGTCACTACTCTTTTTAAA